ACAAGTACTAAGTCAAGCAGTTATCAGGACTAGAGGATCGAACCCTCCTCCAGTCAGCATGGCTGTGGTGTAATAGCCATCATGTTAACTTTAAAGTATAGATTATTATTATTGAGCTTGTATTACCCTTGGCTGTTTGCCCAGCATGTCCTTGATAACTCAGGGTCACACACACAAAAAAAGGAGTAATACTCTGGTCCTACTCAATAAGACACAGGATAAGCATGATTAAAATGGCTTTAGTATTCAAGAATCCTTAAATATTGGACTTCGAATTAAATTAAAAATGATTTAGATTGCTTTCCATGAATAATTACTATTAACTTTTACTACTGTTTTTGCCCCTTTCCAGAGCCCTTATTGATTCCCTGTTGCTCACACACTAAGAATATCCTTGGGTCATGTTTTGGAGATTGCAGGTACTAACAAGAGTTTGTAAAATTAATGGGATTCTGAAGTACGAGGCAAAAGAAAATTGGATTGATTTCTTGTGTGTGACTAATTGGATACCTGCCTGGTGAGCTGGACGCAAATACCAAATGATGCATTTCAGCAGCAAAGCTATCATGCAATCATTTGCTCCATGGGATCATATCCTGTTGGCACTGGGGGCTGTTACCCAGGCCCATTCTGAACGCTTCCCAATTAGAAGTTTGACAGGGAACTGGCCCTCCCAGTCATTCACCTCCATGAAGCGCTAGCCCATGTTATTCATGATAATAATTAAATCTCCCTTTAAAATGGGTCTGCAATCATCGTCACAGGTCAGTATCACAAGCAGTTGCTGAAGAGAGTAAGACTGCCTTCAATACTGAATCCCATTTCACAACTCATTCATTACTTCACCTGGTTGCTGTTAAGGACCTTGCTGAGCACAGGCAAGTCCAGCTTTCAGATTAATTAAGCTACAGACACTTTGTTAAACTGTAAAAATCCTAGGAAAAAAAAATATCCCAGTTTCCTCTCCCTGGGATAGTTACTGAAAAAAAATCTTGAAATCTTAACTCTGTACAGTCAGTGAATGGAGTGAGGAGGAGAATCAAGATACTGGATTGTTAATTATGGACTGGATATGGTGATTTTTCCCTATATTCTGGATTCTCCATTAGATTTTAGAGCCTCTCTCTCTTACTTACCACAAACTTCCCAATAGGAACAGAGACATCAGATGACCATTTCTTTTTTGAGTGCCAATCATCTGCAACCTAATGTTGCAGCTTGTGAGAGCGCTAGACAGTCAATTGTAATACGAGTGACCTATCTTGGCATTAAATGCCATCAAACCTGCTCTGCTTTCTCAAGATGGGCACTGTTACAAGACTCACCACCTCAGAGTGTCCCATCACAGCAAGACCCAGCATTGTAACACTCTGCCTCAGTTTCCCCATAAATATCTTCAGCAGCCAACCCATTTTAAATCGTTCAACCCTCTGCAGGATTACAGGGTAACAAAGTCCCTTAGTGCAAGTCTAACACAACATCATAGTAAAAGAGTCTTCAGCCCCACTGGGTTCAGCCTTTAGCCCCCTTCCGTATAGGTGGGCTCCCAGCAGCAACGGCCCGCCTCATTGTCTAACTGCCTACTCCTTCCTGAGCTCCAATCACCTGGATCGGGACTACTTCCTACCACGTGTCAGGCCACAGCCCTCAACCAGTTCCTAGCCCGAGCCCAGCTTCCTCCCCTCCCCAGCCAGCTCTCTGGCTGCCTCGCCTCTCTGAGCCAGGCACAGGAGACTCCCCCTACATCTCTTTTCCCTCAGCTGGTCTAGACCGCCTCCCCTGACCAGGGGATTCCAGCTACTTTTCTCCATAGACCTCCCGCACCTGCTTCCTCTTCCTCCTTTTAAATCCCACCCCCTGCCCAAGTGCAGTGGGGCAGAGCTAACTGAACAGGGCTGGCTGGCCCAAGACCTCCTGGCCCTTAAAGGAAGGGGCTGCACTGTTAGAGACTTTTTGTTACATGGATCTGGAATTGGTCTTTTATAGCTAATCATCACCAGGGATGTCACCCAAACAGATCTTGGATGCTGGGTGATTCTTCTCATGTTCAGTCTCTCCTTCACTGGTTCCATTCCTTCCTTCAGTCCTTCTCCCCACCAGTCAGAGTCAACCAACATTCATTTTTCATTCTTTTACATCCTAGCAATATCACCAGTTCCCCAGTAAGGGTTCATGGATATTTTAGGCCCAGGATAGGTAAAGCTTTCCTACACAAAAGTCTGCTGTTTTAACATAGTTACACACTGACCCCTAACACTAGACAAGACAATTATGAACTTGTATATCACACGTTTCCTCTTTCCCACTGGCCAATCCAGTGTTTAACTCTTCTTCTTAAACTCCATGAACATCCTTCTCCTTCCTGAATTATATACTTCCTCTAAGCACCTTCCAGTAGCATTGCCAAATTTATACCAGTATGAAACTTAAGCCACTTCTCACAAGAACCCATGATTTGTCAAGGTCTTCCCCAGGGCGAGAGCAGGGTACATCATTTGCTTATTCTGAGTACCCATCGTAGCCTTGCTAATAGCACAATCAGGTTCTTCAATGCTTTTTGAGAGAGAAGCCAGTAGCAGGAATGGCTGCTGTGCATACAGAGGGGCTCCATGAAAGCTGGTATATACAAGATAGCTCTGTCCATATATTTTATACCAGCAAGCATACAATAATCATTCATATGATGTAGGGATCATGCATGAAACATGCAAGAATGTCCTTAACTGGGCATGATCTTTACATGTTCCTTGCACTGAACTTTGAATAATGGATATTTGCATGCCTTGACTCATCCATGAGTGCTCCTTGCCCTTCTGTCTATATGGAATGAAGACATTTCTGTTTCTTACAAAACTGTGGGATTAGAATTATGTAATGCACTTTAATAATGAGCATCCCTGATATTCCACTCCGGGATCTCTCATGAGCAGGGAATGCCAATCATTTTCAAATTATGTGGGGGTCTGCTGCTGAGGCCAAACATCCAGAAAGGAGGCTGCTGAGGTTAACAAAGTTGTCCTGTCATGGCTCATTGCATGGCAAATTCACTTATGAATTTATGACTTATTCACTTATGACTACTAAGACATCATCCTATACTTACATAGGAATGACAAGGTGGGTTAGCAAACAGGGTGTGGCGGGGGAAAAGAGAGTATAACAAAAATAAAGGAAATAGAAACATACTTTGATACCAGATGCAAACTGGAGATATCAGAGCAACAGACAATCAACAGCAGAGCTTATGAAGAGCACCATTAGCAACCTAGAGGCTAGGCCCCCATTGCCAGCCCAAAATCTCACAAGGCAATGGTGGTTATTTCAATACAACATGATATAGCAGAGAAATAGGAAACAAATACAGGAAACAAAATACCCACTAATTAAACTGACCCCTGCAATGTGAAGAACATTCAAAACTCGTATGTGAGTAAGTAGTAGAGACCTATGCATGGGACACGCTAGCATGGCTGGGACCACACCAGCTCGACCCAGAAACTTCCAGATTCCATATATCTCTCAGCTGCAATCCTCCTTCACGTCATGCTTTTAGAGTTTACCACGAAGAACAACAGTTCCTTTTTTACTAGCCTTTAAAATATATTTCCCCAAGCAACTCTGCAGCAAGTTTTGCTTCCCATTTCCCCCCTTAGCCCCCTATTTCACTTATTTCCACAATTCTGGGGAGGACCTGTATAGGGCAGAACTTAAATCAACTGGTGCTTCCTGAGGCTTGCTTCCTACAGCAGAGCTTGAAGGTTTGCCAGTGTATTATTACTGATCACGTGTATTACAGCAGAGACAATGGGCAAGCCCAAAATAGGGCCCCATTATACTAGGCACCACACAAACATAGAATAGTAAAGGGTCCCTGCCTTTGTAAAGAAACTGCTTAGTTCAGCAAAACCACCACTCTACTCACAGTACTGCAGGCTGGGAACTTGCTGCTTTATTCACCTGCATCACAACAGAGTTTGTAGAGTGTAGCACTCCCACTTACAAAACAAGCAGTAAGGAAGGGGGTGGAGCATGGCTCCATCCCATAATACATTGGGTAACCAAATTAACCCTATAATGACCACTTTCCTACACCTGCCCCAAGAGCATAGTTTAGGAGTTAGGGACCTAAAAGCCTTTGAGGATCTGGGTCTTACTACTTCTAGAGGATAATGTCACAAATCAGGGCTATCTGAGGAGGTTGCTAGAGATCTGAAAGACATACCCTATTTTAAGAAGTAACAAAGGATTAAAAAAAGAAAAGGAGTACTTGTGGCACCTTAGAGACTAACAAATTTATTTGAGCATAAGCTTTGGTGAGCTGCAGCTCACTTCATCAGATGCATCAAATAAATTGGTTAGTCTCTAAGGTGCCACAAGTCCTCCTTTTCTTTTTGTAAATACAGACTAACACGGCTGCTACTCTCAAAGGATTAAAGAAATCAGCCACCCCAAGAAAGGAAGAAATACTAATAGAAAAAACTCAACCCATTCTTCCCCGGGACCAGGAGTCTAAAGGATTTGTGGTCCAATCTGTCCACTAGCTCCGATTTTTATCGTGAGTACAGTCCATATGCTACTAGTGGAAGCATCGTTGTTGTGGCACCTATGCTCAAAACCAAGACCACCTAAGCACACATGAATACTAAAGAGTGTCCTTAGCACATTACTAAACCTAGGTCTCCAGAAATGAGAGACTAGTGCAAAAACTCACTGACTCCAAACCTAATGCAAATCCCAGATCCAAACGTTCAGGGGTCCTATTAGAACTTTGTAACCAAGCTGGGTTTTGTAGCAATTCTAGAGTCTCCATTTTGGATGTGATCTCAATTTCTTTCACTCTCTGTCACTGTTCCCTCCCCAGCTTTGTGGCAATGAAAATAAATTGGCTTTGGCCTGTCATATCCATAGAAGGAAATCATGGGCACAGCATGTCTTGTAGAAGCAATATGCTCCATTTTATTTTTTATTTATGTTATAATTGGACTCCCCATCTGGTCAAGAAAAGCACTAAGCTCTGAAGAAGCCAAAAGAAAGCAAAGGGGAGGAGACGAGACAGTGTTCTTGAGTTGTGCTACTGTCTACAAGCACCAGGAGAACCCAAAATGGACTCAGAGCAGTTTAGTCTCCAGGTCCATTCAGCCCTTTGCCCTTCTGTCTGGAATTCCAAGAGTATATCACACAAGCAGTTTAGGGGAGGGAGAATTTGAACTAGATGGGGCTGAGACACAAAGAGCCAGATCCTCAGCTAGTGTTAATCCACACAGTTCCACTGAAATCAACGCAGCTATGCTGATTTACAACAGCTGAAGCGCTGGCTCAAAGTCTGGATACAATCTGGATCCAAAGCCTGATGTGTTCAGATCCAGGGTGTGAGGTCCAACCTTAGGTATTCACTTATGATGGAACCTCTGGGTTACGCAAATGAATAAGAGGTGAGTGGAGTTGAGGGCCCAAGTGGTGTAACGGAAAATAGCTGCTGACAATCTGAATAGCTCTGGAAAATGGACAGAGATGTTTTTCACAAACTCTCAAGAAACTAATTTTCCATCTTCTCCTGCTGCCCTCAGGAAGCGGGCAGAACATTGTATTATTAACCATTTCATATTATGCTGCCCCTGAGACAGCTTAACTTTTCTGAACAAGGGCCATATTGGGAACTTGCTGGCAACCTTTGGGCTGCACTAATTTATATAGCATGGAGCAGAAAACGAGAGGGTGCTTGGATGAAAATGGAGTATCACATGATTGGGCCCGTAGTTTGTTCAATCTACTTATGTATTAAAAATGGGTGTTATCAAGTACGTTGTCGAACTCCATCAGTCAAATTTTGGCCACCCTGTTATAACCCAATGATCATAATTACAAATAAATGACTTCAGTGAGTCTACATATGTGAATAAGGCAAGCAGGATTTGCCTGCAGAATGTGTCAGAAAGCAAGTGGCTGAGTGTAAAAATGATCCTGAGGACCACAATAAAGAATAACACCTTCTATTTTTTAATTAAGCCGGTACACTCTGATTCACTTACACGGGTGTAAAGCAAAAGTAACCCCACCAATTTCAGTGGCATTACGCAAGGCTTACCCCAGCGTAAATGAGATCAAAATGTATCCCCACACCACTAAGCACTCAAAGAGAATCAAAGAAAAAGCAACAAAGGAATACAAGACAAAGCCATGCAGAGGATTCAGGGAGCAGGCGGAGGAGGGGAGTTAGAGGAGAGATGTTAAGGTCGGAGAGTTTGTTTTCATTTACAATTTCCATTTGTAAACGGTGGTTGACTTAGTAGCTCCTGCATAATACAGTCCTCGATGTAGCTCTCCAATGTATATAAGGATTCTGTTAAAGGCACAGAAAACAAAGGAAAAAATCAGTAATGGCAGGTGGAGATGAAATATAAACCCTCACATAACGCTGTTACAGATCAGTTTTCTGCAGCCCTAGCTGACTCTTGCCATGAGGAGCCCTAAATGCGTTGTGAACACTTGTGCAAAGTGTCTGATTTGGGGTTCAACACGGGATTCTTCCCCACAGCCTTCAGTGGTCTCATTACACTGCACAGTGTGCGAGGCATCACTGGAACAACAGAAGGACCAGCATTGCGCTGACAGGAATGCAACAGAAGGGATACATTATCATAGCCAGGCACTGGCTCCGAAGCTTTGCTTGTGCCTTACCCTCCTCCCCCCCTTGCATATTGGAAATGCTGTGGTTGAATTCCATGGCCCATGCCTTTCGCTGGGTTCTTCTTCCTGTGCAGGTGGTTATTAGTTTTAATCTCAGTGAAGATAATGAAGCACCCTGAGTGGATGCTGGTAAACCTGCTAATTAAACTATGGACAACACAGCCATTTTTAAAAAGAAAAGGAGTACTTGTGGCATCTTAGAGACTAACAAATTTCTTTGAGCATAAGCTTTCGTGAGCTACAGCTCACTTCATCGGATGCATTCAGCAGAAAATACAGTGGGGAGATTTATAGCTCACGAAAGCTTATGCTCAAATAAATTTGTTAGTCTCTAAGGTGCCACAAGTCCTCCTTTTCTTTTAGCAGATACAGACTAACACGGCTGCTACTCTGAAACAACCATTTTTATTTGTCTTTTGAAGTGAATTGCTGGTTAACACACATCTGACTATTACATTTGCAAAGATGCCAAACGTTGGCAGCTTAAATTTTCCTTTTAGTTTTCAGGACCTCATAATGACTTTGAATCTGATAAGAAGCGTTTACGGGGAACATCAAAATATCTATGAAATCTTGGGTTCATTTTAGAATATGCCTCTATAATAACTGGCAGACGCCAGCTCATTTAGGCATCTCTTCCTATGGTGCAGCGCCATCTGCTGGCAGTGGCAATTGCATTGGATGCATTTCGAACGGTGCTAAATCTTGCATACTAAAGGTTATGGATTGCTTATGATCAGACCTCAATAGTATAAGCCCAGATCATGATGATGGGCCACATGGGGGCTTCTCCTGACTCTTAATGTTCTGAAGACACAATTTACAAACAAAATGTAAAGACTTACAAGTCACACCTTAAAACAAATGTAAGTTTGGGGAGCGGCGTTCCTATGGGGAGAAGAGTTAATTAGTGCCACCTTCTGCTGCTGAGCCTGGTGACAGACGCGTCTCACTGTAAATTAATGCCTGACATTGGAAGGGCTGTTCTCTAGGGAACCCGCAGGAGTCAGTCTTACTTACACCATTTGGTGATGGACTTCAGGAACCAAACACAGGAGTGAGGACTGATTGGCTGGTAATGAAGACAAACTTACAATAAAATTACATTGATGTGCTCTGGAAAAATGGCAACAAAGTCTGATTTTAAAATGCTTATAAATGTGGTGTGGAGGAAAGGCTCTGGGATCTCTCTGATCGGCCTTGTGATTAAGAGAGAGGAATGGTTTTGTGGTTAAGGACAGAGAAGGACTAGGACTCAAGACATCTGAGTTCTATTCTTGGTTCTGCCACAGATTTCCTGTGTGACCTTGGAGAAGTCACTTAGCTTCTCTGGGCCTCAGTTCCCCACCTGTAAGGTGGGGCTAACACTATTCCCATTCTCCTGTCCTTTGTCTGTTTCCATTGTAAACTCTTTAGGCAGAAACTAAAGGGGAAACTGAGGCACAGAGAGGCTAAGTGACTTGCCCAAGGTCGATGAGAAAGCCTGTGGCAGAAGATGGACTCGAACCAGCTCTCCCAAGTCCAAGGTTAGTGCCATAAATGCTGGACTGTTTTATAAACATACATTTTAACTAAGTATATAGGGCCTGATTTTAAAACACTGAGGGTATGTCTGCACTGTAATTAAAAACCCGTGGCTGGCCGGTGCCAGCTGGCTCAGGCTAAAGGGCTGTTTGATGGCAGTGTGGGTGTTCTGGCTCAGGCTGCAGCCTGAGCTCTGGGACCCTCCCACCTTGCAAGGTCCTAGAACCCAGGCTCTGGCCTGAGCCTGAACCTCTGTCATGAGACACTAGGCATTTGTGGAAATCATGCAGACAAATGCATTTGCACATAAAACTGGAGGCACATTTTTTGCATGTGGCACTGGATTTTGATGTTTTGAAAAACAGTAACATCCTGGCGACCCCTCAGTAATCAGATCCCTAATAATCAATTGCTAATTAGTTATGATGAAAGATCAGGATTAGTTCAGCCAAAAAAGACTTGTAGTCACCACACAGCAATGTATAAGACTGTGAGATGAGAAGAGAATGCAGACCTAGCCACCCCCTCCTTGCACCCTGAGCTACCCCCTCCCTGCACACAGCCTCTAGCTTCCCCCTCCCCGCACCCTGAGCTATCCCCCTGCCCGCACACAGCCCCTAGCTACCCCCGGCCGGTACCCTAAGCTGTTTTCAAACTTTTTGAGCTAAGCCCCCGCCTTGAGTTATAATTTTTGTTTGTGCTGCCCCGCCCCAACCCAGACAGGCTGGACGGCCTGCTGAGGTGAGTCAGGAGGTGGAGGTGGCGCTCCCTCCCTGGACCTTGCCATGTGGAGATGGCCCCTGCCCCCCGCAAAATAGAAGTCAAACCATGCCTATGCCCAAGGCCCCTGTCCCTGCACCCTGTTGGGCCCTGGAGTTTTTATATCATGTTGAGGGGGGGCCTCAGAGAGAAGAAGGTTGAGAACCCCTGCGATAGCAGGTACGCCTTTAGTTCAGATCCCTGCATGCCTAGTAACACTTGCATTCAATGCAACTACTGTGTGTGGTACATTTCTAGATGTCGATCATGCCAGGTCATAGGACTTCTTCCCAGGCACTCCCCTACATTAGTGCAGGGGTCCCAGCTTAAAAGACAGCCTCAGATTTAGGGGGTACTTCAGTGTCCAAGTACGATTATAATGGAATCCAGGTTGTGGGTCAGATTCAAAAAACTCAGCTGATTTTTTTATTGTTCTCAGCCAATCTCCTCGTTACACTTCAGTTCTGTGCCTCCCACCCCCAGGTAGTGCTCTTGTCCAGTTTAGCAGCTGAGTTCAAACTCACACTATGCACTGCCTGTGTGCACTTCTCCACTGACTAACCAGGGTGAGGGAGTACAAGAACTGGAACTCTCCAAATCCTGATGTTGCCTGATCTGGTGACATTCGATTTGTTAGGCACCAGGCTTAATGCAGACTCAACTCAACGGGGAGACAGACGGGTATGACAGGGAGGCAGCTGGGTCTACAGGGCCTCATTAGGGTCCCAACAGTATCTCCATGCTGATGTAATGGGGAGAGGGGGAAATGGCTGTGATGCAGATGCCAGTGATTGGTCTGTCTGTTTCTCCTGCTAGTGTTACTGAAGCATGAGTTGGGATACAAAGAAGTGAGGGGTGAAGATTCCAACATAGTGTGTTCTTTTCCCCGTGCACTTAAGCTCATGACTAAGGAAAAAACACCGTAGAAGAATTGAACATTTCTGGTGGAGGGCAGGACACCTACCCAGCGTACAGACATTAACCTTTGTTTTCTGAAAAAATGCCTTGTGTCTGGAAGCCCATCCTAACCCAGAAGAGAAGATCCTGGTATCTTCGACAGCATCCCCTGACAACTGTCCGATCAGCGCATAGCTTCAGCCTTAAAGAGAATATTGACTGAACTTCCAGGGAGTCACTGGGGCTGATCAGCAACAAATGCCTTTACACTGCGAAGGTGCTTGATGCTGAAGTCTGCCTAAGAAGCTGGGTTGGAGTTCTAATCAACAGCCTCCTGGGTAGCCGAAAAGCCAATAGATGGGTGGGATGTTGCAGGAGGCCACACTGAGCTCTTAGGACATTTTTGTCAGTGGAAAATTGCGGGTGACAAATAAAAGCCACCCTGTACGGTTTGGCAGTAGATTCTCTTGAAAACTTTGAGATGTTAATTTAAGACCTGCTGAGGCCCCAGTAAAGATTACTTGGAAAAAATGCAGCATTAGAAGGAGCTTCCAGAACTCAAAGTAGTATTAAAGGTCGTGGTACAATGTGACACTGTCCAAGGTACTCCTTCAAAGAAGTGAAGGACTCTTAAAAGAACTGCAGTCCGGAGCACTGAAGACCAGCAGCCTTGGCCTCTGAATAGTTTTGGTGCTAGAAAGATGAGGATTTTTTCCCTCAGAAAAACTACCTTCCCTTCCTAGCAAAGGAAGCTGCAAAATTCACATTTGGGTACCATTATTGTGCCAGAAATGAACATAAATACAGTGCACATCTATCTTTATAATCCCGTTACTGGGTTTTCATAACTTATGGTTTTCCAGGAATAGATATAACCATCGATACTGAGAACTGGCAGGATATATATGTCCAAGTTCTGCAGGAAGCTTTTTATCTTTGGGTCAGTTTTGTAATTTTGTAAAATCTGAGAAGAAAAAATGCAAAAGAACAGCACCAGATCATCTGGTACAAAACAATCACTGGACATGACTTCATTTAGAATTAGCATAGACTGGTTGGTCATCCTAGAATACTTCCTTTGGAAGAGACTGTACCTGCCCACCAAGTGTATCGAGATATCTACCGCACCTTCAAAGGCATTTCAAAAGTGATAATATATCAGATTACATTTATAATGCAGTCTACATTGGTACTATGCACCTTACAACAATGCAAGATAAATTCTGCAGGGAGAGACACAGTAGGAGAGATAGATCCTATACATATGGAACACCACCGTACAGAACCCTCTAGTTCTTTACCCTTGGGATCAGAAATGGAAAATTGTTCCAGATTTCATGGTGGCTTTGTGATGCACCAAGACCATGATTCAAAATGCACTGACTTCAAGGGCAGGCTTCTCACTGACTTCAGTGGGCTTTGTAACAGGTCCAAGTTCATTTGTTACATCCCAAGCCCTGGTTTGAACTTGGGTCTCCAGAAGTGATCGTGTAATGCACTTCAAGGTATAATCTGTCTCTGAAGAAATAGTTTAACAATTTCTTATAAGTAGAGGAAGAGAACTGAGGAATCCAAAGCTATCTGCAAATTGTATACTGAAATGGGAAAAGGACTCACTTCTTTCACAAACCACTGGCAAAAGGCAGAAGAGATCCATTCTCTGGCATGAATCCCACAGTCCATCCAAATAATCTTCTTGGCCTTATTTGATGGTTGACTTATCTGGGGAGTGTAAAAGTGATCAGTAGGAAATATTAAAATAAAAGAGCCTAGCATATTATAATATGTGAAATATGATCCTTGATATACTGCTTAGCCATGTGAGATGCTTACTATTACAGACTTCATTATGACCAGCTTTCCTCCCTAATAATCCAATCTCTGCATCATCCCAGGCCAAGAATCTTAAAGTGTGCATTGAACAAAGAGTACCAATAAAGCAGCTTCTAATTCTTATATGGTTGCCTTCACTTATATGAGTCATTCCCTGGGCTGATCTAATTTTGAGGTTCTCTTCTTTGGAAGGGAACAAGCAGAAAGAAAGATAAACCAATTTTTCTCAGCAGTGAAGACAGATCTTATAAGAATTGTCATGAAATAGTCAAGATAGAAAGGTCACAGATTATAGAGAATAGTGAAAAACAAAAACCCTTCAACACACACAACTATAGCAAACATAGTTACACCAGGTTGACTATGGTATATTATTAGGCCTGTCCATTATTTGCAGTTAACTCCAGTGATTAACTCAAAACAAATTAAGTTGATTAAAAAAAGTAATCCTGATTAATCACAGTTTTAATCACACTGTTAAAAATAATAGCATGCCAAATGAGATTTATTAAATATTATTTTTCAAAACAGGATTTTAACCAAATCTGGTGTCTTCACAATAGAAAAGTGGTATCAAAGACTGATGGCAATTGTCGATACAAAAGACAGCACATTTCTGTAGAGTTATGTCTAGGAGCTAAAACCTCTCCTGTTATTTCAACCTTATGTCACCTTGACATTTTCCCTCATCATTTTATGGAGATGCTCTTTATTTATCTAAACAACACTTTCCCCACTCACCTTCAGATAATACATTGGCTGGTTCCCATATGTCACTCCTAGATAATGCTGTGCCACGAGCTCACTGTTGCTCTCCTTTATCTGGTACATCCAGTGATAAATCTGAAATAGTCGTGGGGAATTGTTGCTCTAGACAGGGAGTCCCCCTCTTTCCCCCACCCACCCACTTCCAAATAGCAAATGTTTTATGTTTCTTAGATACACAGTACATGCCTCTGAGCATATTTCAGGCTGTGATATTACTTAGCACTGTTCAAGACCAAATAATGGGGCAAGACATTTCACTTACATCAAATTAAATACAAAGTAATACATTGCAAAGGTGGGCATCAGAAAACATTGCCTAGGACTCCTTCGGGAGCCCATTCAATGCTCCAACCCCATCAGGAGCCTTTCTATTGACTTCACTAGGAATTGGATGATGCAGTCAAATCCTAAAACTATCATTGGGCTGGATCCATCAGCCGGATGATTACTAGTTTTTCCACATTTCAGGTCAATAGCAATATACAAATGCTTACAGTAAACACACATCATATGCCTAGAAGAAAAAATACCACAAAGCTCTCTCTTTGAGCATGTCCTCTAAATCGACTGCGGAAGATATAAATGAGAACAACAGTCCAGATGTCTTGGCTCTCCACTCTCACCACATTCAAGCCTCTTCTAAAGGCTCACTTCTTCCATAGAAGGGAACCCAACCAAAAAAAAAAAATTCAAGTTATTCATTCCTCTGGCCTTCCCAGGGTGTCCCATCTTCTCCGTTTCTATCTGTTATGTTATAAGCTTACCGGGATGGTCATCATTTCATGTCTTGGTCAGTGCTTAGCACAATGTCAATGCTTATATAAATAACAATGAAGAGGCATAATAAATGGATATTCAACTACTCAAAATATGGATTAAAAGCAGCAAACAATGGGTTGAAGCCTATAGATGTTACCTGGAAGGGAAGAGATCATGTTCAACACGGGGAAAAAAATAGTCCACAGAAGGACTGTAGCTAAATGCATGAATCCTTCACACAGAGCATTTACATTATAGAGATTAAGAAATAAAGGGTGAAATTCTGGCTTGACTGACGTCAAGGACAAAACTCCCATTAAATTCAACGGGCCAGGATTTCATGCAAAGGACTTGAAGAAAGCCAGATCCTGCAATGAGCTCCAAGCAGGCAGACCACTAAGCCACACTGACTTCAGGGGAGCTCTCTGCAAACACAGGAGCGTTCGCATAGAACTCACTGCAGGAGTAACACCTAAATGACAGACTTGGTTTCCTTCTTACCTCTTCCATTGGATGATATACAGTTTAGGAATACCCTCTGGAACCCTCCAGTGACTGCTGCCCTCCCTTGGTGTGCTACTGTCCAGCTGTTTTTATACGTCACGTATTAGGACCCTGAAGAAAAAACAAGAGAAAGATTAAAGTTCCCTAAACAACAACTGAAGAATGACTTTAGCAATATCCTTAAATCAAAAACATGGCCTTTACACCATGGTCTACCTCAAACCTCTTGCTCATCAGGCCACTAGATACAGCAATAATAATAATTGTAATAGAACAGGCCAACATGTTTTGAATATTGAGATTTTTAAATTTTTAATTAAAAATTCACGTTTTGAGCACTCCCCCATCTTGAAGCCCCCCACCCCACCCACCAAAAAATAGCCCTGAAAATGTTCAGGTTTTTTCTCACCAGCTGTAAGCACTGGTTAAAATTTTTCCATGATCAAAAAAATCATGTTAAAGATTTGTCATTTGAGGGGGAGGGGGGGAAACAGTAAAAATTTTCAAAAAACTTCACACTTTAAAAATATATTTTTGGAAGATTTCCCAATGGTGCTTTTTTATAGGTTTGCAAAAACTGTGTTTGTCCTGGAAAATAGATGCTCCAGCAGGTTGGCCACAAATTAATTCTGAATCTGCTTCATCATGGGCCTGCTTCAGTGACTGCTGAAGTCAATGAAAGACTTCCATTGGCTCCACTGGGCATTGGCTCAGGCCCTGAGCTTTTAGTAGAATTCTTTGAAAGACAACACAGCCATGTGCAACACTGTTCTAAATCTGTGCTTGAAGTACATGCTCAGAATAAGACAACTCTGAAAGCAGTGCAAGTTCACATGCTAATGTCATGCTTTGAGAGCACTAATAGGCTACTCTGCTGTCTCAAGCACTGACCGGCATTTCTGGAAGGCTGCCCTTTTAACTTTTGAGAGTGCTCTCAGCTGAATTTCAATATGAGCTTTCTCACCTCTGTGTCTCAAGGTAAAATGTAAGCAGTGCAAACTCACATGAACGGACACCAACAAAAAGGAGCTCATCACAGCTCCTGTGAACTGAAATCTCTGAGTTTAATGCAGCTTGAATATTTGATGACCCTAATATAATATGCCATTTATGTCTCCATCATTACATGGCTCAAGTTGTCATATTGCCTTCCTTGTATGCCACCCACCTTCTTAGAGGGGCTTCTCCTCAAAGTCTGTATACAGAAATTAACTATCATTCTGTTTTTCACCTCTAAAGAACAGAGAATCAAATTTTCAGTCTGCCTTTCCACTTGGCCTCCCTTTTGTGCACCCCACACAACAGAGGCACAAATCATTATGAGTGCAAACAGAGTCCAGTTTTAGAAAATCTGAACCACAATAATATTTCAGTTAGACTGTAAACACCGATCCCAGATGCTAGATAGTTATATACTGGCAACCCTATCCCATATCTCTCCACTTGTTGTTGACAAGGCATCAACATTAATTACTACTAAAGAGAATTCATTAGGGAGGAGATCAGATATCAGCTTTAACTGTGAATGGTCTTGCTTGTCATAGCTTCAGAATGGACTTTAATCCTCTTTCAAGGTATCTTTTATTAGTGAATGTCACTACAGCTGGGCTGTATTCAGTATGTCTATTAGTCATTTGCCATCCTAGCACTGGATGGCTGCAGAACTGTAATTTTCATATGAAACATTATAGCTGGTGGGTTGGGTTTTTAAATATTTTATGTGATGTGTGACAATTTGGGGACTATATCTTTGCCCAATTATGAATACCATTTTGTTTTATGAAGACTAGTTGTACAGGTAACAGTCATTGTGACTAGGGGTATGTCTATACAGCAATTAGACAACTGCACCTGGCCTGTGCCAGTGGACATGGGCTCACGGGGCTTGGGCTGTGAGGCAGTTTAATTGCAGTGTAGACTTCAAGGCTTGGGGCTGAAGCCCAGGCTCTAGGACCATGGGAGGGCTGCAGCTGGCACAGGCCACCTATGGGTTTTTAATTACAGTATAGATATACTTTAGATCATCCATTTGGTGGCAGGAACCTGGCACATAGTGAGGAGCCATGTCTGGAAAGATATGACCAGGCAATCAAGGCAGCATCAGCATTGAATGGCTCTCACCTACTTGAACAATGGAGTTTTTCCCAGAAGGGCCTTTGCTTTTGAATGTATCATCTCTTCATAGATATCTGTTTGGGGAGAAGGAGCGTGGCGGGATTCCTGCTCAGCCTGATCACATCACTGAGGGATCTGCAGTTTCTTCCACTGACCACCTGGCCCATAGCCAAAGGGAGCCAGTCCATCACACAAAACAAAAGGCATAGCTGGAGAAGTGGAGGCAGGAGGGACATTGTCTCCCTTCAAGGACAATAACCAACCCCAAGGACTGTCAGGAGTGGAGAGGTCCCTGATGGGGGAAGATTGCATTCAGGGGTTTATGGTTTTGCATAGATCTGTAACTCTCCTGTGCTATCTAAGAGTAAAGTGTGTGCATTTAAGAAGTTCCCTTGCAAGACCATGTTCCTTACTTTACCTACCACACTGTTGCCGGGGATGTAAACTAGAAATTAGAGTGCTCACAGGAGTGAAGCTCTGGAGGAGTGTGCACAGGCCATTGGGGAGGCTTAGGAGGTCAGATCACTGGATTCAGGGCCTAGGTCATCTGGACCACAGACTCCCTCATTCCAAGGAAAGGAGGGCAGACAGGGAATTTGCAACCCAGGAGTGTGAAGATGCAGAGGAAGAGACAGTATCTGGACTTTGCCTAGACCCAGCTGGCCTGGACACACACAGGATCCAAAGGCTGGATCCAATTAACACAGTCTGGTGACCACCCTGTGGATCCACCCTGTGGATTGGGGGAAATTTGCCATTTCCATGATAGGGAGGATGGTCATTGAAGCCAATGGAGTCATTCAGTATGCAAGGGGATCCCTATCAGACAATTAGTGGACATAGTCATAAGATATCAAATGCTGATTTAAGCAGCCTTTCAGCTCCTGTAAACTGGAGGCTGGAGCCCTGACATGCAGTTCTTCTCCAGCCTGGATGTCTTCAGGCAGCAGTGGCTTCCACAAATCCAGCTGGAGAGAAAGAATGGGAACACAAATAACATTTCTGTTTCCATTGCTAAAAAATCTAATTAAGATATGCTAGCTATGGATGAATAAGAGGAAGCAATCATTCCTAATGCTCTCTGCCCACGCCTCCCCAGTCATCAGCTCTTTACCCAGTTGCTCCCAGGGCATACATCTGGGACATCCATGCGTGGTCTGTGAAACAACTGGCCACAATTGGAGGATGGGAAATCTCATAATTTCCTATGACCGCATAAGGGCAAGGCTCAACCCAGCCCTTTATTAGTAAAGTTCTTAGGTATAAGCTTTTTCAGGCTTGCTTTTTCCTTAATTTCTATACAAAGTTAAATACAAATCTGTTTCATAGAACTAACTTTGCATCAGGTTTCTTGTAAACATTGTTAGCATCACGCACCAGCAAGGTGTCACAAAGATGCTGAAGTTACTTTACCTGCTCAGATGTTTGTGGCAAGACTTGCAAAACCTGGTCCCTGGAAATTAAGAGTAAAAAAATCAGCCCAGCATCTGTTGAAAATTTCCTTTCCCCTGGGTCTAAAGAGTTGTTTTGTTATGCAGAAGGGAGTTAGCTCATCTAACTGAGTCCCATTTCACTGAGAACATGACTGACTGATGAATTAATGGAATACTTTAGATATAGATAGGATCAAGTTCTGTAGATTCTCTGGGTACCTCAGTAGGGCCCTACATTACCTTTACTTATTTGCCAGTGCCCTGATCTTTCAAACACTTAAGCACATGAGCGATTTTATTTCATCTTATCAGCCTCTTTGAAGCCAATGACATTGCTTACATGATTAAACCTGTGCATATACTTAAGTATGTGCTGGACTCGGGCCTAATAAAGTTGGTAATAATATACAGTGCGCTATTTCATCAACTTTGACCTTTTTCTGGTCATGAACCATCCACAAATAGACTTTGTGTTTTGCATATTTATTCATTATTCAAAATTGCTTGACAAAAATTTTATGCAAACCTTTTTTTAGCCAATAAGATTTCACAAACTACTTGCTGTATGTTTGACTATTCACTATTTGTGGCCTTTGACAGGTCACCTAAATTACATGGTAGTGCTCCTGCTCCCTGATTGGTAAACTGAAATTTATAAACAGGAATACCTAATTTAAAAAAATCACAGTGATTTCAAGATGGCTGGATGAAAACTTCCTGTCTGGAGATGTATTTAACCGAGTATTCCTGAGACTTTCACCTTCTGAAAATTTTTATCTAAAAAAAAATATTGAAGGTTTACACAGAACAAATAAAAAAGGCTGCAAACACAGTTGAAGCAAACGTGTGGTTTCTACAAACAAATCTTCCTAAATACTTTTTTCTGGGGTATTAATGAAGCTCAGCTTTGTGGTCCTGTAGCAAGCAGATGTGGAACTTCAAAATGGATAAGAGTTTTTAAAAGCAATAAATGAAAGGTTGTGACGTGAGAATGTGCCATCATCACTGGGAGTGGATTTTCATGATTACATTGCATTAGATATCCAAAGGTGAGTTAGTATCTTTAGAAGAGAGCTGTTGCCACTGATATGAAATCAGAGCGGTACCAGAAATATTTCTATTTCTTAGCAACCACTGGTTTACAATCGTCTCCCCTGATTTCAAAGGGCTTTGGATCAAGTTCTTATCGTACATGTATGGTCAGGAAAGAATTTAAATACAAAGATTCTACTATAATGGAAACTTATCACAAGAGCTTTGTGTAGCAAATCATTAATGATCATCAATATCATGTATGCTCACTGCATGAGCAATAATTGCTAACTGGGCCTTTGCACTCCCATCGCAAATGTACAATATCAGCTCAATATACTTGCGAATAGAATTAGCTAACTCTCCCATTAGCCACTGGAAAAAATATAGGAAACTTTTAAAAATCCCTGATCTTTTAAAAATATGATGCTTGCTGATCAGCTGAAACACAAAACAGGTCCATTTTCTCTGACAATTGGAATTAGCTGTTTATTACCCATACCAGTGTCACACTGTTGCACTTTTGTCCATTAGGCAAAATTATAACACTTGCATTGCTAATTATTTGATATAACCACAGTAAATGTCGATGCAACAGAACCTCGTAGATATAGGACAAATGCCTCCCAGTCTGAAAATGAATCTCTCAGCTGCAGTTGGGAGTTTATTTTCCATAAATGCCTGGGCTTGC